GACCACACAAGACACTGAAAAATGTCACCTAAGACTCTGTCGCCAGATATTATCCCTAAACAACAAAAGCAGCAACATCGGATGTCGAATGGAATTAGGAAGACTGCCACTCTTATCCATAGTACAACAAAGAGCCATAAAATATTATCAGCACATTACCAAGAGTGGATCAATAACATTTGCATATGACGCTTTAATGGAGATAAAACAACAGTGTTATCCGAACTCATGGCTGCAAAAACTCAACAACATCAAAACAACATACAACATTGGCATTAACATTAATGAAGACCATTTATATCAGATATCTAAAGACTACTGCAATAAACTATGGAATCAAGACAATAACAGAGAGAACTCAAAACTATGGACATACAGGCAAATAAACAATGAAATTAAACAAGCACCATAGTTAACTAAATTAAATAAACTCCATGATGTTGAAACACTAGCAAGATTACGGCTTAGTTGCCACAAATTACAGATTGAAGTAGGAAGATATACTTGTCCAAAAACACCACTCAGCAAGAGACTATGCAATGTATTAGAGGATGAAATCCACTTCATTACATCTTGTAAAGCTTACTCTTCTGAAAAAAAGACTCTTTACGATGAATTTAACAAAATATTTACTAAATTACATGAGATGGACAAAACAGAAAAATTCAAGACAATCATCAACACATCAGATATACATTTACTGAGAACACTAATCCAATACATTGATAATGCAAACTTGAAAAGAAGCATTTAGTAACTTTCTTTGTTTTTTGATACTATAATTAATTTGTGTTCATGTTTATTAATTTAACTTTATTATTCAGAGCCCAAAAAAGATTGTAATTTCTTTACGGTGATAATAAAGTAATTAAGTATTATTGTATTGTATTGTATTGTATTGTATTGTATTGTATTGTAACAGAAATGGTTTATAAGAGAGTTCAGAGAGAGAGATCAGAGATCTGAGAGCAGACCTTGTGGATTTGAGAAGTCAGATAATCACAAAATCACACGAAAAACCTAATACTAAATACAAATGAGTGAGTCTGTGCATATGACCCTCTCCTCTTGGGTCTGTGGTCTGTGAAAGAAGTTAGTTAGTGTTCAAATCCTGAATCTGGGCATAATAATTTTGTAACTTCAGTCCAACTACATGTATCTGCTATTGTTTGTAATTTGTCTCAACCAAACCATCTCATGATAAATTAATTATGTCATGAAGAAACCCTTGCTGTTTTGAAACTTCTATTTTCTTCTTTTCTAGACTGGTTCAAAAAAATCTCCCTGGAGAAACCTGTGCAATAAAATTAATGGTTTGTTGAAATATGGATTGTTGTATTTTTCCTCAATACTACTATTTCACATGATTGCAGTGCTGTATGGGGCTCCATTTTCAGAGTAAGTCAACAACTCCCAAATAAAATAAGTGATAGCAAACTTTCTCTTGGGATACATGGCTGAGACACAGGTAAAAGGGAAATAGTGAAACTAGTACAAAATATTGTATAAACTATCGTGTTGCTGTAAACTAGTACAAAATATTGTATAAACTAT